GGGGGGGGAAACGCCAGCCCCCCCGGCGCCGACCTCACCACCGACCCCGCCTTGGAACGCCGCCTCCTCCTCCACCTCGCCGACCTCACCCTGCCCCTCCCCACCGACGCCCTCGCCATTTGCCGCGCCATCGCCACCGTAAGCCCCCTTAGATGCCTCCTCGCGATTTTTAAAGACCATCCCCCCGCCAACTTTTCTAACCCCCCACCCCCAAATCTTTGGGGTTTTTTGGGTTTTTTGGGGGGGACGGACACAGGCGGACGCGCCCGTCACCCAACGCGGGGTGGAGAGTTTGCTGCAGAAGTTCGCGGCCCAGGAATTGATCGAGGTGAGGAGGGGGTTGCTTCAAGATGGACCATCTCAACCTACCTTGGTCACCTACGCCGATCACTCGAAGCTTTCCGCCATGACCGGCGCCGTTATCGAAACCGGAGGACCTCCGACGAAAGATCCTCCCGGAAGAAAACGACGGGCGGAACAAGACGGAAGCGGAACGTCAATGATGGCGACGACGGGGGGAGGAGAAACAGGGAAGGAAGCGATGAAGAAGTCGCGGAAGCAAGCATCCGACGTGGACTTGGAGATCGAGAGTTTGCTTAGTCAGCAATCCACCAAGGAGCAGCAGAGCAAGAAGGTGGGTTCACGCCAAAAATGATGGGGGACACCCTTGGGTTTCTAGTCAAAGGGTTGAGGTCTTGGAGACCCAACAAAGGAAGAAGGTGGGTTCACCCCAAATATGGTGGGGGGCAGATGTGGGTGCTCCTTAAAGAGTTGAGGTCTTGGAGACCCAACCAAGGAGAAGAATGTTGGTTCACCCCCAAAAACGCCATAGGACACCCTTGAGTGTCCCTCAAAGGGTTGAGGTCTTGAAGACCCAACCAAGGAGAAGAATGTGGGTTCACCCCAAAAACGGTGGAGGACACCCTTGGGTGTCTTCTTGAAGGGTTGAGGTCTTGGAGATTCCACCAAGGAAGAAGGTGCGTTCACCCCAAAAATGGTGGAGGACACCCTTGGGTGTCTTCTTGAAGGGTTGAGGTCTTGGAGATTCCACCAAGGAAGAAGGTGCGTTCACCCCAAAAATGGTGGAGGACACCCTTGGGTGTCTCTCAAAGGGTTGAGGTCTTGGAGACCCGATGAAGGAGAAGAAGGTGGGTTCACCCTAAAAATGGTGGAGGACGCCCTTGGGTGTCT